TGAAACAAAGATGCTGACATTTGCACGTCCAGCTGCACACAAGCTTATGATTACGCAGACGACTGCAAAGCAAAGTGATTGTAGCTGAGGTTTGTTGGCTTGGATCACAATCAGTGAAAACATCTCTCTTTTTTTTCGCCCACCAAAACTCTTGATATCCCTGCTTCAGTTCTACGTGCAGCTTTGGTTTCCAGCCATTTATTATTTATTTATCAGTGTGCATTGCCAATGGAATGCACACTATTGTGATTCGTTTCCCATCCAAGTTATCTCAACTTTGCCATGCTTCTCCTCCTGCATACTTTGTCCWAGAGCTGCCARTGTAATTTATATCTGTAAAGCCCCTATGCCAAATGATGGCTATGCCTTTTGGTGCCTGTAAAACTTATAGTTTTTGAAATATTAATGTTTAATAAATTATAATGACAGTCAATGGAGCCTTGTATTGGTCCAATACTGCCCCCTGCTGCATCTACACAATATGGTACTGCACCAAATCATAATATTTAAACTCAGTAGTTCAGTGATTACATTCTTATGATTGTATTTTGAAGTTTTCTGTAATACTGTCTTAATGTTGTCATATTGCTGTAATATATTGCACTTAAGTGTCAATAATTGCATTGGCAAGGTAAACTTTTTCTGTATACATACAATCCAATCCCTGGGATTGTCCTCTGCCACATTTCCTATAGTCTCATGATGAGCACTGTGGGCTTTCATGTGGGAGATCAGGGTTCAAATCCAGCTACTGCAACTTTAACAAAAATCTCTTCAAGCTTCATATTGTCACACATTTACCTTAATTACAAACACTTGCTGACATGACAGGCACAAGCTGGTATAGAATACACATTTGAACTTGATCAAAGTTCATTCTGAAAGTCCAATACTCCTGCCTACGTTGTCCTACAGCTGCCATTGTAATTTCTATCTGTAAAGGTCCTGTGCCAAATGATTGCTATGCCTTTTAGTACCTGTACAACTTGTAGTTTTTGAAATATTAATGTTGAAAC